AAATCACCATTATTCTCAGCCATTACTTTGTTTAAATGACTTGTTTTTCATTTGTCCTCTATGTCTCTACCTCTTTTTCATATTTTTTATTTATCTATGCTATATTCTGTATACCTCTACTACAGTTTACTGCTTTTCTTATTCGTTGTACCCAGTACCTGGCATAATGTGTTCATTCAGTTTTCTGTCATCGTGTTTTGAGACAAAGTCTTGCTATGCAGTTCAGGCTGGTCTTGCGCTCACTATGCAGCCCAGGCTGACCTCGAATTTACAGCGATCCTCCTGCCTCAGTCTTCCAAGTACTGGGATTACAGGGGTGCGCTACCATGCCTGGTGAGTTATTTTAAAACATTTTTTTCATTTCTAGTTTTTTCAAAATTACCAGATCTTCCAAAAACTAGTGTTTTGCGTTGCTAGTTGTTATTTTATAGTGTGTATTAGGTGATTTTATTATCTGAAGATCTTGAAGTCTAATACTGCTATTTTGTATTTGTCCATGGTAGGTGTTTCCTCGTGTTTTTGTTTTGTTCTTTCCAGTACCTGGGATCAAACTCAGGACCTGGTGCTTGTGAGGCAGGCACAGCGCTGCTGAGCTAAATCCCTGGCTCCACATGTATTTTGTAATTTTTTATTTTAAGTTGTGTTCAGTGTAACTTTCTGTAGGGACCCATGAATGATATGGCCCTCTACAGCTGTCCAATATTGTTTCTGCTGGTAGTTCAAGTGATAAAGCTGGGGGGGCATCAGTTCCTGGATCTTGCAGGTGGTATACACTTGAACCCTATGAGAAATCAGCTTGGAGGTTACAAATCCTCGTAGGAAGGCGTTTTGTCTTTCTTAGATCCCGAACTGTCTCTCAGTGCTAGTACAGTAGACCCTCGCGTTACAACCAGCCTGGCACATGAACAACTTGGGTTATGACTGGATTTTGTTTTAACTTACAAAGTCTTGAGTCACAACCTGAATACTGGCTATTTGTGCTTCCAGATCTTCTCAGATACAGATTCAACCCTTAAAGATTTCTAGAAGGAACATTACAACATCCTATCCTGTGTGAGAAATCCTGGGTCAATATCTGATGACAACGAGATCTGCCTGTATAGAGAGACTTTGAAGGCTGTGTAGAGGAGCCTGAGCCTTCAGTTGACCACCCTGAACTAAAACCAGCCCTCATGAATGAATTGCGTTTATAAGTCAAGGGTCCACTGTAAATGGATTTTTATTCAGCTCACTTTTACTGGAGGAGTCCCAGCCTTCTACAAGTGTCTTGGATCCAACTCTCTGCCTTACTTAGGACTAAGCCACTGTCTTTTCCCTCCATGAGGCTATCAAAACCTGAGCACCTGCCAGGCATGGTGATGCGCTTCTATAATCACTTTGGGAAGCTGAGGCAAGGGGATTGCAAGTTCAAGCCCAGGCTAGGCAACTTAGAAGACCCAATCTCAAAAATAAAAAAAGGGCCAGCAATATAGCTCAGGCAAAGGCCTTAGGTTCGATCCCTAGTACTGAAGGAAGATAGGAAGAAGGAACAAACAAACGAACCCTGAGTACCTTAACTTAGTGAGGTAACCAAGCTGCCCTCACTCTACTAGTAGAGCATTTTAAATTGTAACTCCCATCAAACAAATGATTTTGTTTTTGGATTTCTACTTGTGTTTTGACCCTAGGTGATATCCTTTTTAAAATTTTTACTTATTTAGTAGTACTGAGGATTGAACCCAGAGTCTTTACACCAAGCTGTATTCTCAGCCTGTTTATAGTTTTTATTCTGAGACAGGGTCTTGCTGACACTAAGTCACCCAGGCTGGACCAAACCTGAGATTCTTCTGCCTCAGCCTCCCAGAGTACTGGGGTTACAGGCATGTACCACAGTTCCTTTTCTTCCTTTTAAGCTGAGCTGTATATCTTTAAAAGACTTTTGGGTTATTTAGAAGGAAAACAGAATGGCAAGCAGCATTGATTTAGTTAATTCTTTACTTAGCCATCTCCTTTCTTTCATCAAAGAATGTAAATGGATTTTTTTCTGCAATATTTCATGTTTATAGATTTTTTTTGCTTGCCTAAAAGAAAAACTGTCACCTGAGGTCTGATGCCTCATTTTTTAAAAATATGAATCATTTGCCATAACAGATTTGCCAGTTTCTTGAAAAAGGCTTTCTTGAAACAGAGGATACATCTCACATATATACATACATATTATGGATGACTACAACAAAATTGATCAATTGACGTTTCTTAACTTTTTGGTAACTGATACAGACAAAAGCTTCTTGGCATGTTTCTTAGAGAGTACAATTGGATCTCCATATTTGTGGATTCCACGTGTGAATTCAACCAACTACCAATCAAAAATATGTGAAAAATTTGTACTAAACCCATACTTTATTATACCCTATACAATTATTTATATAACATTTACATTGTATTAAATATTATAGGTAGTCTAGAGATGATTGAGTGGAATATCACTTTATATATGGACTTGATCATCCTCAGGTTTTGATATCAGCAAAGGTCCTGGAACCAATCCCCCACAGATACCAAGAGATGTCTGTTTATTATACTTGGCATGGCATGCTATTATTACATAAAAATTATATTTTCTAAGAAATGACTATTAATATTAAATATCTCTCATTCATTTTAGTCATTTCTTCCTGAAATTATTAAGTTTTTCACTGATAATATCTTATATTGATAATAGATAACAAGAGTGGCTGTAATTTATTTATTTTCACATATTTTAGGAATAAACATATGATGTAGATAAAGAACAGGCTGTATATGGTGAAATAGAGTGATTCATCTGCCTAATTTGTTTCCTCTTACTCTTCATATGTAATCATCAAAACCTAGCCTTAGAGTTACCTTTCTTTCTTTTTTTTTAAGACAGGGTATCACTGTATATCTCACTCTGGGCTTGTAGCCCAGGCTGGCCACAAACTCACAGCTATCCTCCTGCCTCAGCCTCCCATCCTTTTAGTGTTCAGTACTCATATGATTATAATCTTCCCAAAACATATGCTTAAAATGTTAGAGTTTTCACATCCCATTCAAATAAAATCCAAGGCTGGGGATGTATCAATGAGCTATCATTGAGAGTGCTTGCTTAGCATGTGTCAGGCTTTGGGTTACCTCTCCAGCAACACACACATACACACTCCTTAGCATAAAATGACTACATAGCCCATTTCTACCTAGTGATTCTCATCTCCTGAGATTTTTCAATATTTACTTGCTTTTAAATTGCACCAGACTACTAGAACTTCCCTCAAGTTCTACATCCTCTTCAGCCAGCTGAGCTTTTTCATCCAGGCAACTTAGACTTGAGCTTCTAATTTTAATGAAAATATTTTTGATAAGTTTGCTTCCATTAGTCATGAACATAAAATTTAATAAATTGATTTCTCAAATGCCACAAGTTCTAATACATCTATTTTAAATGAACCCTTGGGAGACACACTCAAATCATATCGCAATGTAATACTTAACATCAGTGAATCTAAATACTCTTACTCCTACATAGAATGAAGATGCAGATACTAGAACTTTCTCTATCAACCTTGAGTCTAGAAGGTGCTAACAAAAATAAGGCTGAGCTGGGGATGTAGGTAGCTCAGTGGCAGAGTACTTGCCTAGCACGTATGAGATCCAATCCTTAACCCTACTGATGTGGGAGGGGCACTGAAGTGTAAGCAGTGCCGTGCTGTTGCATAATCTTTGGAATCGAATTGCCCTAGGCTAAAAAATTTTTAACTGCGGTATTTAATATGGGGAAACATTTTTTTAAAGGACCATCAGTTGCGTTCCTCTGTTCCGTGTAAAGATATTTCTACATAGAGTTTACTGACTAATTAATTTTAGAGTTCAAACTGTCTATAGAAATTTGGAATCACAGGCAAGAACTTTAGACTGGTTCTATTTTTAAAGTATGCTTGGTAAATCCCTACAGGTCTGATGATAGTGTCTTAGACACCACCATGGGCACCAGTAAACAAAGAGAACAGCAGGCACATTTCCAGACAGATACACACCCCCACCAGCACAGTTCAATGTTTCTAATATATATATTAGGCTTCTAAGTAAGATTTCATTTCAGGAAAAGGATCTGCTAATCCAACCCTTTTGTTTTACAACTTAAGAGTTTTATATAAATACATTAAATAAATTTTGCAGGGAAAAATATCAGCAAGAGGTTACAGATACAAAGTTTGTACCAGATACCTACCCTAAATGCCTGATTTCTCCTAGACTTCAAAATTCCATCATTCTTACTACTACTTCACCATGTGCATGTTCTACAAACAGCAGCCAGACTCTCCTAAAACTTAAGCTATATTACAGAACTCATCTGCTAAAATTCTTCACCTGGCTCCCCATCTTGTTAAGTAAAAGCCAGAAGTCTTTAAAATGGCCTGCAAGGCCCCTATATGATCAGAGTGTAACGCTATTCAGCACTAATCCATGTCATGCATTTTTCTCCAACCTTCCTACCTTTCTCTTCTCATTGAACTCCAGTTCTACTAACCTTTTGAGACTGTTCTTTTAAATGGCCTCATATGGTAACAGCTCCTACCTTGGGGCCTTGAACTTGCTATTACCTCTGCCTAGAACATTCTTCTCCTGTAGTCTCACAAGTGGTCACTTAATTTTCAGGTCTCTGCCAAAATGCCACCTTCTCAAGGAAGTCTTCTCTAATCATTTCCTATAAAATAACAACATGCTTACTCTTTTTTCCCATGGCACTTACTATACTGACATATTTATGTATGTATTACCTGTCTTTTCTAGCTCCAAAATAAGCTCTTCAAGGTCTAGGGCTATTCTTATATACTGCTCAGACCCCATCACTAGGAACAGTGGCACAGAATAAGCACTTAAATGTTGGTTGAATTGTGTTTGTTTTTTGTTTTGTGGTACTGGGGATCGAACTCAGGACTTTGCGTTTGCAAGGCAGGTGCAGTGCCACTGAACTAAATCTCTGGACCAGTTGAATTGTGTTTTCATCATGATTTATAAAAATTTTCTCATAGTACCTACATGGGTAAAAGGTAAAACAGTGACTTAAAGCTCCTAAAAATGTGTATTTGCATGATTCTCATGGATCTGTACTAGAGGCTCCCCAACAAGTATTTAAGCACGTTAGTTCTACACTCCAGTCTAGTAGGATTTGAAGAGGAAGGGAATACAGCCAATACAAGTTGTTCTACTGTACTCAGGGACTTAACCATCCAAACAGAGTTTCTTTGTCCCCTATCTTATCTCAAGATTCCCCTTTCAAACAGGCCAGGAACCATGAGAACGGAGATGAACTAAATCTTAACCTTGGAATGAGTCTATATTAAATCTCTGTAAATTGCAGATAAAAACCAGAATGAAGCCAGGCTTGATGGTACACATCTGTAATCCCAGCACTCAGAAAGCTAAGGCAGGAGGATCCCTGTGAGTTCAAGCCCAGCCTGAGCTACACAGTGAGTTTAAGGCCGGCTCAAACTATATAGACAGCCTCTCAATCCAATTTAAATCTTCTAGAATTTATTTCAGTGATCAAAAGAATGCAGCCAATGAAATTTACAATGACTAGAATCAGGCATACACCTATACATGAAATTGCTGTTAGTTTTTGACTGGCCTAAATCTTTATAATTTCGTTAGGCACATCTTTGAATTTTTTGTACTTTGATATATAGGATAGGTTGATTTCTTCCTGTGGCCATATAGTAATGAGAATTATGTTTACTTGCTAGATTTCTTTTATAACTAAAAAGGCCTCCAGATTCTCAGGTTGTGTGGTCTACCTTGAACCCATACTTTAATAAAATAAATCATGTAAATTATGGTATAGGGGAGGGAGATAACCTAGATTACTCAAATGCACTGTACAAATACTCCATATTTTTTTTCAATACTGACAGTCCATCACTAGATAAGATACCCCATTTACTGCCAATTCATTCTTTTCTCACTGTTGTCCTTTTTGACAGACACAAAGATCTCCCCAAAAATCTGAAATGAATTCACACAAATAGATTTTACCCATGTGTGGTCCCACTATCAAAATACAGAAAGCAGTTCCACTATCAAAAGTATAGGATGTAGTTAAGGGGACCTTGAGAAAGCCTAGTCCCACATACAGTAATATACATCTAATAATTTCCCATTCATCCATCAATCATTTTCACAAGATTGACATTAAAAATCCAACCAAATACACATAAACCTAAAACCCCACATGAAAATTTGGTCTTTGTTCATTTTCAGATGATAAAGTGTCCCCAAAATGACAAAAGGTGGGAGTCAATTACACCCAAAGCCATTTCTTCAACCATCCCATCAATAGCTCTTCATTTCTTGAACTACCTTCCTTTTCCAAAGAGGTAACGCTGTGATCAGTCAGAAAGGCTTTCTGAGAAGACTGGCTTGGATTTCTGGGTCTGTTCCAGTCGATTCAAGATGAACTGGCTTGTATCGATGAAGCGCTCAACGCAGTTCACAAAACAGGCCTCAGCCCGACTGTCCAACTTTGGCCCAGGCTTGTCCATGCATTTTTCCTGCTCAGGACAAGATAGGAAATTAAAAAGAGAACTGGGGTGAGGGGGGACAATGAGTGGACAGGACAGGCAACATCTTATTGTTTCTTAGAAGAAATACCACCTAAAAACAGTACCCTAATTGAAGCAACTTTATATTAGCTTGAATTCTTACAATAACCCTATGGAAAAGATGCTATTATTAATCCTCATCTTACAAAGAGGGAAACTACAGCACAGAGATCTTTTGTCCTAAGTCACAGGCCAGAAAATGGTGGATCTAAAATATATCCAGAGCAAGAAAAATGAAATGACTTAACATTTTAATAGCCGGGTGTGGTGGCACACACCTGTAATCCCAGCACTGGGGAGGCTGAGGCAGGAGGATCGCTGTGAGTTCGAGACCAGCCTGGACTACATAGTGAGTTCCAGGTCAGTCTCAACTACATATTGAGACCCTGTCTCAAAAAAAAAAAAAAAAGTAACATTTTGCTGAATTTAGATGTAACTACACCATACTGCTTGCATTAAATGACGTTAAATTGCAGAACAAAGGGGTTGAAGAATAAATTACAGGAAGATACCTTGAAGAACTGAGATCTTGTAATCTTGTCTACTTAAGCCTGAGGTTCTTGAATCCTCTCACAAGGAATGAAAAATTATACGAAATTTTCTAAAGAGTGCATAGCTCACAGATTCTTAAGTCTTTAACCACACCCCTTCTGCCCCAAATGTAATATATCAAAGATTTAAAAAGAAGAATCAAAGTACTCTAGCCACTGGGCCTGGTGGCAGATGCTTGTAATTGCAGCACTGGGTAGGCTGCAAGTTCAAGGCCAGCCTGGACTACACAGAGACCCTGTCTCAAAAATTAAAAAAAATAAAAAATTCAAAGCATTCTGCTTCAAGGCAGACCAAATTAAAGCATTTGGTAAGGGTCATAGTCCAATAATACTCTAAGTTTATGGGAAAGGTACACTGGAAACCGATAACTGTAATGGTTCAAAGTGGTTAAAATAAATTTCATTTATAATTCTGTGTACAAGCCCTCCAATTCCAAGGCATATTACCCTTGGCTTCTAAATTCTGTGTGTGTTTGTACTCCAGGAAGGGCAGTATGCTATCCTTGGCAACCTGAACACTTTGATCTCAAACTCCAATTGCCTTCCACCCTTTGCCAAAGTCCCTTGACAGGACAGAATGAATCCTTCAACCTTCAGACCTGAAACGGCTTGGTATTACACAACAACCCAACAAGTGAGCAAACAAGCGTGTACATGGGAAGTGATTACACCACTTTTATACTTAGGGGCTAAAATCCCTCATTTTTCTTTCTTTTCTTTTCTTTTTTTATTTTTTATTTTATTTTATTTTATTTTTGGTACGGGGGATCGGACTCAGGTCCTTGCGCTTGTGAGGCAGGCGCCAGAACCACTGAGCTAAAGCCCCAGCCCAACAATCCCTCATTTTGCCCCAGAAAAGGTTAGAAGAACTCTGTATAATCAAGGTAAATCCCAACGAGTCCAGGACCAGCAGGTTCACAGACTCTCTGGGATTCAGGCTCCCAAAAAATAAATCCCAGTACTGTGGTCTCTGATCAGTCTTGACCTGGACTAAAAAGCTTCAACCTCAGATGCCTGAAAGTGCCGGGTGGGATATCCGCCTAACTCCGACATTCCTAGTCCTCTGCACCAACAAAGCAGAGGTCCAGAGTGACAGCCACTGAGAAGCTCAGTCACCATTTGGCTTGGTCTAAGGAACCTGAAAAAACCGGAGAGCGCTGGTGGGTTCACCTTCTTCCCAAATCTCCGACGTTGTGGCAAGTCCCTCGGGGCACAAAGTAAGTGGGTAGTGTCCAGACCCCAACCCTAGGATCCTCACCCAACAAAGTTCAGTCATCTGGTGCACCAGCTGCTGGAAGCGCTGCTTCTGAGTCTCCACCTCAATGAAATGCTGCAACTGTGGGTCCACTGTGCCCAAACCCGCCGCGGAAGACGAGGAAGAAGAATCCATCGCAGCTAAACCACGCTTGCCAATACGGACTCCGTAGCAACTCGCCGACCTTCACGTGTCTCGGCGACGGAACCGGAACCACAATCCCCTGGCTCCGGGACCGCCCCCGTGAGCGCACTGCGCCGGCGCGAGGCCTGTGCGGAGCCCTCCGGTAACCTCTCTTCCCGGGGCCAGTGGGGCTCGCTCCCAACCGTCCGGACTCTCTTGGCTGCAGCCCGGTCGCAGGACCTAGCCTATACCTCCACGGCTGAGGCGCTGTCAGGGCGTTAATACGCAAATAAAAGAACAGGAGCGGGAAAGGAAGTTACTTCAGACCACGTGGCCCATTGCGGGCGGGCCCAATAGCTCCGCCCCTGATTGCTTCCAAATCGGCCCGCGCTTTCCCCCTAAGGTGTTCTGCTGGCCCTGGACGGCTCAGCCTGCTAATTGGTCTTCCTAGGCTCCCGATTCCATCGTCAGTGGAGTTTTCCTCCCTTGACTTAGGGAAATGAGGCTCTGGCAATTTGTCCCCAGCTTTACATTCATTCAAATGTTAATACGGTGTGCCAATCGCTGTGCTTTGGCTTGTGAATTAATCTTGGATTAAGAGGCAGAATTAAAATAGAGCCACAGGGGTTAAATGTCGAAGATCCTGTTGAGCTGTCAATGCAAGAATACGCCAAATCAGGGCCACACAAGTTTTCTGCAACTTCAGGTAGGGTGCTTCAGCGAGACTGCGTGATTGAAATATGAGACTTTTTACTCTTTCCAGGATTTTATTTTATCAAAATAGTCTCCTTTTATTTTAATGACAGTTTTATTCTTTTGTGCTTTGTTTTGTTTTTTGAGACAGGGTCTTGCTAAGTAGTTCAGGCCGGTCTTGAACTTACTTTGTAGTCCGGGCCGGCCTCAAACTCACCGTGATCCTCCTGCCTAAACCTACAGAGTTATGGGATTACAGGCTTGCGTCACTATGCCCAATGACACCGTTTTATTAACAAATCCTGTCCCGCCGCCCAAGCTCATAGCCTACCAAAAGAGCAGTAGGATCCCTTATAGGTTATTTACACCCCTCCCTCCCTAAACAAGGTTTCCCTCTCAAATTCAGTCTGTTCGAATAGCCTTAGGAAATTTCCTCTCTTGGGGGAGGGAGGGGAAACAGGCACAGAAATTCCTTTGCGTTTTGCTCAGAAACGCTATCCCATAGAATCAAAGAAAAGAGACATTCCTAGATATAGAGGGGTGTTCGTGTATTCAGGGGAAGCAGATTCCAAAACCTGTAAGCCTGGGATTTCTTCAGAGAAACTGAAATTGGGGCTTGTAGAGGTGAGGAGTAGAAAACTAAGAAGGTTATAGCCAGTTCAGGATTCTTCATCCATGACATCTAAAATGTTGCTCAGGAGAATTTTGAAAGTGGGACGTTCGTCTGCTTTCTGAAACCAGAGAAAAGTGGAGTGTTACACTAACTAACTAGATTCCAAGAGAAATGCAATAGTAAGCAATAAATGGTTATTAAGTATATAAGGTATGCCCAGCAGCATACCTTGTTGATTATGAAAAAAAAAAAGAGGAGGGAGGGATAGCAGTTCTTGGGCTGAGGATGTAATTCAGTGGTGATTGCTTGCCTAGCATGCACAAGGACCTGGGTTTGACCATCAGAACCGCCAAAAATAAAGAAATAGCTCTTCATAAAGTAAATCTTTGTGCACTTTTCAACTTTTGTAAATCAGGTTATTAGTGTTAATAAGAACATTTTGCAAATTGAACTGACAAATATTGATTTAAACGAAGGGCAAGTTTATTATACACGATGCATTATTATTTTGGAGCTTCAGGAGAAAAATGGCTACCAAACACCTTCAAGTAGCTGACAGAACGGAATCCTACAAGTTAGGATATTTACGCTTGCTTTCGCATACTGTTTCAAACAACCCAAAATCACAGTGAACAAAGGACTTAACATTTCCAAACCACAGACTGTGTCTGTGGGCAGGAGCCCTGAGCACCTGGGACCTTTTGTTAGTGTAGCTTCCCAACTAAGGTTGTTTTTTGACAGTTGTGGTCCATAAACCCTTGGGGTATTTAATGATTCAGGAACATTCATGCCCGAATGGTCTCAAATCTATCAGAACCAAAAGGTCATCAGTTTTATCTGTCCTATGAATCAGTGCCTCTCAAAAGCAACTGAGTAGCATATCAGAATTTCCTGCGAAGTTTAAAAAGATTTCTGGATTACATTTCAGACAAGCCTGATCAAAAATTTCTGGGGAATAGGGCCAGTAATCTATATTTTTGAGAGTTTTTCAGAGATTCTGATGTGCATCTGCTTTTGTGACCACTACTTTAAATAGGCTGGGAAGAAAGTGCCACCTGAAATACAGTAGTTTTTAACAAGCAGAATGAGGGTGTCCTGGTTAGAAGAGAGGGAGCATAGTTAATCACCCCTAATCCTGCATCACAGAAAAAAAAAATTCAAATTGTTTTCCCTTCCTCCACACTTTCTTTTTTTTTACCTCTGTCATTTGTTCAAGGGAAAAGAGCCAAGAGCCAATTCAAATATCCACTTTTGTCTCATCAAGAGGGCCCCAGAATTACACAGGTGTTTGTTGGACACTCTTTTCTATTTCTGATGGGGTAAAACTAAGAGCTGAGCACGTAGTTCCTACTAAATGGTTGGGTTGCCAAATATTTACTGAAAAGTGGAGAAAGCACCTTAGAAACGGCCTGAGGTGAAAGCAGAAAAGCATTCATTATTTTTTTTTAATCTCAATTTTTTTTTCCTCATTGAGTTTATTGGTAAATTTTAGGTATACAGTACACTTACATTCATTATTGGGATCTTGTACCTTTACATGACAGGTCTTGGTTCTCATTTTTTCCCCTTGTCCCTGCCTTCCCTTCACCCCCTCCTCCCCTCCCCATTTCATTTATTATTTTTTAAACTGTAAGGCTTGGAAGGGACCTTTATTAGTTTTTGTGGGGAGTTGCTTTTTAATATTATGTAAACTTTAATTATTTTCCTTTTCTTTTGAATGTCTATACACTTATCTGAGTGCCTTTAGCTGGCTGCTGCTGCATGATGACAATCCCATAACACCCTCTCTCCCTAAAGCTGAGTTGTATTGGTGTCTGCTAATAATAACTAGTGAGAATTGGGGTGGGCCTGGGAAAGCCTGTGGCCATCAGAGGATTTGGGGGCAGGCTCGCGTCAGAGAATGTGTATGTAGCTATCAGTCTGTGCCCAGCTGTCATGTGGCCTTGGAGAGTGGGCACTGGCCAGCTAAATGAAAAAATAGGTTCAAGGAAATTAAGACGTCACACTGAAACACTTACCTCATGCCAGCAGCTGTACATAATGGTATATACTCTCTCTGAAGCCAGATGGGGCCTGTAGAGACGCAGGCCTTGGGCAATGTGTTCAGCAGTCTCGCTATTAGTAAATCTCTCATATGGCATCTTCCCCAGGGAGTAAATTTCCCACATTAACACCCCTAGCAGTGAAAAAAAAATTTACTTCAGTTTGCAGCCTTTTGGGATAGTAGAGTTAATAGCTTTCCTAGAATAATCTCAAAGATTACAATAAGTAGGTTATCCCCTCTGTTATTTTGAATGTTGTCCAGACTTCTGCTATAGTACCAACTACACTAGAGAGCTGTCAGACTTACATTCTAGACCATTAGATAGATACTCTAGAAGAGAAACAGCATCTTATTTCTTGTCTTTGTAGTTAGAAGGTCTGGCAGAATGTCCCAATGATGGTGAACCTTTTTAGAGCTTTCAGTAGTAAAAAACAGCCCACTGCAGCATGAGTGCCACAGGTTCACCACCACTGGATATAATCAGTATTCAGAAGCTGTCAAATACTGAATGTATTGTTTCCCTCAATATACTGTAAGCTAAGAAGATAAAGATCTTGTCCAGTTTACTGTTTTTATTCTCAGAAAACTTGTGAGGTTCCTGATATGTAGTACTCCCTGGGGAACAGATGAATGAAAGCAAGAACAATTTTTCTGTGCAGGATGCAAAGTGTGGATTTCCCCATTCCTTTACTTTTTTTTTTTCCTCATTGAGTTTATTGGTACATTTTAGGTATACACAAGGCCGGGCGTGGTGGTACATGCCTGTAACCCAGCACTTGGGAGGCTGAGGCAGGAGGATCACTGCAAGTTTGAGACCAGCCTGGGCTACAGTGAGTTCCAGGTCAGTTTCAACTACATAATGAGACCCTGTCTCAAAAAACCAAACCAAAACAAAACAAAAAAAACACAACATTTTAGGTATACAGTACAGTTACATTCATATTGGGATCTTGTACCTCTACATGACAGGTCTTGGTTCTCATTTTTTCCCCTTGTCCCTGCCCTCCCTTCGCTCCTCCTCCCTCCCCCTTTACAAACACTTTATTTCCATATTTTCATTTTCTCATATTTTTTTCTTTTCCCTCATTTCCTTTCCCTTACCCTTCCCACTTTCCCTACACCCTTAGCCCTTTTCTTCCTATTTCACATTTCCCCATTCCTTTTCTTGTGAGCTGTATAACTTGGATAATCTTATCCACTTACCAAAAGCCCAAATATCAGATTTGCTGCTGAACTTGCTATACATAAGGACCTCTGGTGGAGACCACCGGACTGGAAATTTGGAGCCTACTGAGCTGGTGTATTCATCATCCAAGACATATCTACAGGGGATTCAAGACATGTTTGCATTAGGATTTAGAGAGCCTGATATTGCTAATAGGCACTCCTTTCTTCCTCTCTATTCCTCTTTTCTTTCTTTGTTCTTCTCCTTCTCTTTCTTCTTTTGCAACTACCAGGGGGGATCCGACTAAGAAGACTGGTTTAAGAATTCAGAGGAAGCATGGAGAAAAGACAACAGGATTAACAGATCAAGATAAGATACTGAGGAAATAGCTTTTTTTAAAAAGGGAGCAGAGATAAAAAGAGAAAGGAGAGGGATATAAAAATTAAACAAAAGAAATAATTCAGAGGAAGAAAATAAATAGTAAGGTGGTAAGAAACACTGGCATGGGAAGAGAAAAAGAAAAGGAGATCTAAACCTATAGTGCCTCCCCGTGTTTGTACTGTGATATTTATACTTGGCAAGGTGAAGAAAGGCATACTCACCTAGACAGGCCAAAATCAGATACTTTTACAACTCCTTGATCGTTTACCAAACAGTTTCGAGCCGCCTGTAGTGCAACAGATACTAGTGAGACCCCACCCCAGCACACATATTAAACACATAAAGCTTCTGTCTCCCAATAGAATGAAGCCAGGAATGCTGTCAACTAGAGAGAATTTCCAGCCTAATAGGAGTCAGCTGGTACCAATGTAAAAAGCGATTCATTTCTATCTCATGGGAAGCAACCTGTTAGGTTGTTCTCTAAGTAAAGCACTGAAGACATACAAAATTTCATTCGTTTACATGGGCAATTCCCTAACACTGCTTCCTTCACTGAAATGTTGGGAGGATTAAGGGAGAACAGGACATGCATTTGTTCTGTTTTATGACTTTCTGCCTGCAGGACTAGGGTGTTGGCCCAGCTAAAAGAAGTGGCCACAGACTCTGATGCTGTCAGGAGGCAGACAGGCAGAGTAAGAATGAAGTGGGCCGGGTAGAAACTGCAAGAAATAAAGAGCACAGCCTGATCCTCAGTTCCAGGTAATTGTTAAATGGTTTGTGAGAATTCGAGCCCAGTGTTCCAACATGATCTACATTTTTTAGAGAAGCTAAAAATTCCAGTTGCTTTTTTAAAATGTGCAAAGTTTGTTTTAACTATGGTAAAACATTTTTTTAAACCATGTGAGCCAAATGCCCCCGGTTTGACTCTGATATAACTAATGATCACTCCATGCCAGAAGCAGTCCCATTGGGAAGCACAAACTTTCCTTTCTGATTTGAATCCAGAAGGACCACTAGATAGATGACTCCACCGTTTCCTCAGGGAACTGAGTCTGAGTGGCTGCTCTTAGTTCCTACCATAGCTGACCTCATGGAGTCGAGGCTGGAAATACTTGACTGGCTCACAGTGAGGTAGAGGCAAACCCGTTAATGTTTTCTAGATGAAATTGAAATTCTGGCATCAGCCACCTTCTCAACCATGTATATATCTTCCACCCCCTCAGCGCTCAATCACAGACCAATCCTTCTGAGGTCCCACCCACCAGGTCTCGGTGAAGGAACTGCTTTGACTCCAGGTATTCCATGGCCTCGCAGACATCCTTGCACATCTCCAGCAGCTGCTGAGTCTGGAATCGGTGGCGCATCTCCCTCAGGTAGTTCAGGAGGCAGCCATTTGCCATGTACTCAGTGATGATGAAGATGGGACGCTGTTTGGTGCAGACACCATACAACTGCACCAGCTTCTCATGGGAAAGATTCCTATAGGAGAGGCAAGGAACTAGTCCTCCCCCTTGGCTCTGCACACTAGTCATAAAGGGGTTGGGGAGGAAAGGGATTGACCTAGGATGCACATCAGATAAAATGTCATAATAGTAAGTTTATTTTTTCCTTCCCATCACAAACCCCCAAAGTATCTAGTATGTGAGGGGTGCACAGGGCTTTGGAACCTATCAACTGAAACAAGTCTAGGACTGAGTGTGTATTAAGGCTAAATTAGAATCATCTTTTCTTTTCTTTTGGAAGTCACATTTACTACATCTACCCCTAAATGCTGAGATGCTACACCCATATTCAACACTATTCTCAACCAGTATCTAAGGCAGTGAAATGATTACCTTAGCAGTTAGGACTCTCACCAATTAAAGGTCAAGATCAGGGTCTGATCCCAAATTTCTCTCACTAAGTCACCTTAGGCCACAGTGGGTTGTCCTAGTAATTCCTAGATACCAGTAACTGAATGAAGTGTTGGATTTAGATTGTAACTCACATCATAACTTTGGCTTCTTCAATGAACTCATCCTCAGACATGGAGCCTTCTCTGATCATCTTGATGGCCACATCATACTGGCCCCTCCATTTACCATATTTCACTACCCCAAATTGTCCAGTCCCAAGTTCCTTCAAGAATGTCAGGTCCTTTGGATCGATTTCCCATGATCCTAACAACAAAGTCTTGGTGTCATTCTTTAGGGTGACATATATATATATATCTATATATATATCTATATATATATCTATATATATATCTATATATATATCTATATATATATCTATATCTATATCTATACCTATGATGGGTAAGAATCCCTCTAAGGTAGAAATAAGAAAATCTGTAAAGGGGAAATTTTCAGGGGTACTAATTCATCTTTACTCGGGTAACTCTCAGAGACGGGGGTTACTGGTTGGAGGAATTTGGGAACTTTAGGTTCAAGTTGGTCATAAGCAAGAAGATAGATTAAACAACCTCCTAAAATCCCCTTATGATTAGGTAATGACTATAGCTAAACTCAAGGTTAATGCTGAAAATTTTTACCACAGTTAAAAATAAACAACAAAAAGACCCCAAACAACAAATCTCTGTGAATCTATGTTTTACAGTCCCGGTGGGAGCCATAGAAGGGAATAAAACCATTAAATAACTTTTTCTTGTCCCTGTCTTGATTTTCCTTGAGGCAGCTGGTATAGAAGCATATACCTCAAAGGGCCTTTTTTAAGGCAAGGTCTGTGAGGGAAGTCCTTGCAACTGGGCCATTCTACCCGACCCCAGAGAAATAAGCAGTTACCATAGCCCAAGCCTGCAGTGGAAGGTGCATTCTTGTTTTGTTGAGACACTGGATATTTCAACCTGGATATGAGTCCTGAAACATACAAAGAGGTCATTCTCTTGGTGCAGTATAGCGAGTGGGTTGCCTCACATATCCACACTTACAGTCTCATTCTTTCAAGTATGCAGCTTTCTAGTACATGAATCCACATTTTTCTGTTAGTTTCTCCTCTCACAAGAGTTTTCATAGAAAATGGAGAAAACAATAAATGAAATATATCCCCTACTTAAATATATTCTCACTTCTCAGCCCATGCTTAGTTCACATCCTGCCTTCTCAATGAAGATTTTTCTCTTTTATTCATGCTCTCATCAATCTCTCAGCTTTTAAAATATCTACACTCTTAGAAACTGTCTTCTGACATTTTCTAACCTGTAGATTCTTTGAGGACAGGGACCTCAACTTAGAATTTTCCTGTGTCTCTCAGAAAAAAAAAAAGAATTTTCCTGTGTTCTTTCTGAGATCCAAGGAAACTGCTGTGTACACAGTAGGAACATGAATAATTGCTAATGAATGTTTGTTGATTAGTTACTAGCCTCTTCCATGTCTTAGCACTGTGCATTAATAACAAAAGAACAATAAACTAGTCGTCCTTCTTGGGTGTAAGGTCTAATGACCTCTTAACTAGACCATCACAGACCTCTTAACTTGGCCACCATCACAGGAGGTCCCTTTCACAGCTAATTCACACTGTCTGATGTGGCCTATTCTCTCCTTTACCACCTTGTCTTCAATTGATTCTCTTGCTGTTTGCAATGTTTTTTTCTCAGCTGCCCATGTTACTCACCTGCAGAGTTATGCTGATGATAGTTAATGAGCTCAGGAATGGTGCTGAAAAGGTGTTTCTCAGCCAGGTAATACTGGCTCTGAGGGGTTGAACACACAACATAGTGGCGAATCACCCCTTGAGGGTCCCTGAAGAAGTGGATGCTTAGTTAGTAACTTGGGTACAAGAATCAGTATGAACCAAAAAGGGAAATGAGATGAATTTTGAGTTTAATGGACAGAGGAAGCTAGGTGTAGCAATGCACACCTATAATCTTAGGGCTGTGGGAGGCAGAATCAGAAGGATCTCAAGTTTGAGCCCAGCCTGGGCAGCTTAGTATCTAAGTGAGACCCTGTCTTAAATAGAAAATGAATGGCGGCTGGGAATGTAGCTCAGGGCAAAAACCCTGGGTTCAATCCCCAGTACAGAAAAAAAAAATTGGGGGGATAGAATTGGGAGGACAACACATCATTCAGGAGCTGTTACGAGGGAAGTCCTGTCCTTTGTCTCCAGAGCCTAGGAACAGCAGCACTCACCCAGTAGATTTAGCAAACACAGAAACAGTATATTTTCCAGCTTTGCTGGAGTCTCTGACAATGAAACCTCCTTCTTTACCCTGAAACAGTGAAAAAGAACCTGACTGTAGGAGGAAGTGGTGCCCACATCTGCACCCCACCTGCCCACACTGGAGGGAAAAGAACCATTTTACTACCAAATTCCATGCTTGAGCTGTGGCTTCCTTGCTTTTAATACTGAAAAGTATAATTGGGACTCCAGAGGAAGGAGTCCTTGATACTGCCTTGCCTGAAGGTGGTGAGTAAAGCAGGTCTTCAGTTCAGCACAAAGAGCACTACTTGTCTGTGGCCCCACACTAACCTCTTGCTTTAGTAGTTGCTCAGCTTGACTTCGAGTCATGTGCTTGGAATACCACCTATGAAGACAGAGTGCTTGTATGACTCCTAGACCATAAGTAGTTGGAAGGTTAGGACACCTTCCAGGGCTTAGCCATACCTCTGATTCAGTCAAATCACCCACGTCTTTTTTTTCCCCACATCTTATTTCTAGAGGGTTTACTATGCACATAGTACAAAGCATCCTTTCCCAAGCTCAGAGTGAAGATTCACAGAGATGGAAAGTTGAGGGCAAGGGTAGGGTTCGGAGTTTGCAGGAAAGAGATCAGGACCTGGGTCCATTTAGAACAATCCACATTCATGATTAGGGAGAGGACATGGGTACAGGTTTGCAATTTTTATCCTTTCAAATGTTTCCCACCAGGTTGTCACTCCTTTGAGTATGATTTGGAAGCAGGGAAACCTCTCTGGCACTCACAGACAGGAGGGTGTTTGGGGTCACCCCAATGTCTAAGTAAGACATAAGTCTTAACTTGAGGTGGTGGCATCACTTGATCCAGTGGACAGTAACTTTACACGTATTTTGAAATAAAAAGGTCATTGAAAGTATAAAATAGTATGTACTATATTTTGTTCCTCCTGGAAGATTCTGTGTTGGGAAAAAGCATACTCACTCATACATTTCTATGGAGTCTTCTGCTTCAGTAACATAGTTACTAGGGATGTAGCCTTCCTGCCTGTAGAGGAGACAACGTGAGATAGATCGTACAGCATTGCCCCATTCTCAGGGAGGCAGACTCAAATGTTCACATCCGTGACCTCAGAATCAATCTCACATACATCCACCCTCAAAGAAAAACATGTCTGATTAGGCCAGTGAAGGGCAGAACTTCTGAACATGTGGCATTGGTTACAAATGACAACAGAGATTCTGAGATGACAGAGGCCACATGTAGAGCTGCACACTGGGAAATATTTGCAGGAGAATATATTCACTTTGGTATGGGAAGAACAATCTCTGATCAGGGTACTGAGCAAGGGAGTTTTGTTGCTGCAGTTTGCACAGATGCAAAGTAGGCAGGAAGAAATTCAGAAAGGGCTGGGAGAGACTCACCCATTTTTATCCCGTGCTCTCCACCATGGTAAGTTGCTCTCCTCTAGGATGAAATACTCATCACCCTTCCGCAGCTGCAAGTCATTTGCATTCATTGGCATATAATCATAAAGGGCTACAACCTTTTTCAGCTCACTTGCAGAGACTGGTGCTGCGGTTGGCTCAGGGGGCAGTGGTTTTTTCAAGATCTGTGTAGTTAGCAGAAAAAGCAGGGGGGAGGATTAGCTAGTCATCAAGCACTCTCTCTTTCCAACTCTAGTTTACTAGACACCATTCTAACCCAAATCAGGCATAATAAATGCTTTACTCTGCATTCATTCAGCAACCATTTTCAAGCACCTGTGACAGGATTCTCAACCTGGGGTACACATGAAAATCACCTAGAGAATATTTAACAATCCCAGCATTCAGGTAGTTTCCTGCAGACCAACTATGTCAAAATTTTTGAGAGTGAGACCCAGCAATCAGTATTGTTGAAGCTTCCCAGACAAAAACCAAACGTACAGCCAAGAAAGCTTCTTAGTACTAACTGGTATATAGACCTACTAAATGGCTCTGAACCTCTGTTTCCTTCTTTATACAATGATCATCCTATATCTGTCCTACTTACAATATATGAAAAAGTGTTTTCTGGATCTCAGAAAGGTACAAAAAAAACAAGTTTTAAAGTAAAATGCAATTGATAGAATTTAGGAACCAGGGATATAGGAGATCAGCGCTAAATTCTTTCGACTGGGGCCAGGGATTTAGCTCAGTGGCACTGCGCCTGCCTGGGAAGCGCAGAGTCCTGAGTTGGATTCCTGGTACTGAAAAACATAAATAAATAAAAATGAATTATTTCAACTTACTGTATCTTTGAAAATATTTTTCATTAAAAATTTAGAAACAATTTTCATTAAAAATGTTTCAGCCGGGCATAGTGGTATGCACCTGTAATCCCAGCACTCAGAAGGCTGAGGCAGGAGTATCATGCAAGTTTGAGGCCAGCCTAGGCTACATAGTGAGTTCAAGGCCAGCCTGAACATAGCGAGACCCTGTCTTAAAATACAATAGATAAATAAAAATGTTTCAAACAGGTGATTGGATTAAATGGTTTCCAAGAGCTACCTAATAGCCCTCTATCTTTTCATGAAGAGGAAATCCTAAATACAAGGACAAATCCCCTGTCCCAACAAGAATAAAAGTTAACACTTCTAAATTCCAGGTCATTCTAAGACTCTGGTGTGTTTTCAAAGTTTAAGTGTAGAACTCCACTTTAGTAGTAGCCGTGTGCAATTTCCCTTTATACAGGTACCTGGTCCTCCTCTGGTGTAGGGGGAAGAGGTTTTTTTGTCTTCCTGTGAGAACTCCCAGGTTTTAAGCCTGCAAAATAAGAAACCAGTGATGACATGGAATACACTTAGGAATCAGCGTAGGAGCAGGTTTGGTCAGGGACACAGTGCCTTTTGAAAAGTTATAAAATGTGTCCAAGTGCCAGGCCACATAGTGTAGAAAGCAGATTGCAAACTGGATTTCAACCTCCACTAATTCCCTCCTCCAGGCTTGCTTGTGTAGTGGCCAAAATAGTCACTATGTTGTGTCACTGGGTTTGACAGGCCGTTTGGAATGTGATGGAAATAGAGTCAAAGGAGGAAGAAATTGGGCAGGGGACATAGCTCAGCAACAGAGTGCATGCCTATCATATGCAGGAACCTAGGTTTAATCTTTAGAAACCCCCCACACACACCCCTCACACCCCCCACACCAAAACAGAGGAAGAAATTATATTGATTGGCTCTCTTACTTCCATTCCTGTTCTCCAAAATTTGGCAGCCCATAGCATTTTTGGCTGTCTGAGAGCAGCAGAGATATTGCCCATCAATCCAGAAGCAAGGGTGGTATTTCTGTACCAGGTCACTGTTGTACCGGATTACTGTTTAACAGGAGAGAAAAAAGAGAGACCACATCTGACATGCAGAAGGATCGACCATTTCCATGTTTTTCTCTTTGAGCTTACTGATAAGCTTCAAACAATAGCTCCCTCCTCAGCCATTCTAAAGAAAAGCAGATCATGAGTCAGTTGGTTCACATGACTGTTCTGCCTGCCCGTGTGCGCTGGCTCCAAACAGTTGTCTTCAGTATCTGTCACGATGAGTATCTCCAATCAACATGATAAAAGAGTATCTGATAGTTTCAGAGCCCAACAACAGAAATATTCGATATGTTTTCCCAGTAGCCATTATAAATCTTCTTATAAAGCAGGTATTGTTTATGCTATTTGTTTTTCACATTGGAAAATAATGTACTTAAACCAAACTCCCACTGTACCTTTCAGTGGTATTTGCCTTAGTGACAATTTACAGCATCACACTTTCTGTGTTCCTAGAATCATCAACAGAGCGGAGTTCAAGGACAAATGAAGGTGAGTTTGCCTCTAGTAAAAGCATGGTTCAAATTCTCTTAGGACCACTGAACTAGACTGAGTTCATTGCCAGATATAAACACAGCAGCTCCATTTCTTTCACAAGGATGTGAGGCTTGAAAGATCTCCAAGAAGCTAAAGTATGTTACAAAGAGTTATTCACAGATAGGAGGAATTAATATTACGGTTTTTAATACTGTGGCATCTCAAAACCTTAAATTAAAAAAAAAATCCAGGGATCATGATGTGAGGCAACTGAGAGAAGCACAGACAACTGAAACAACTAACAATAGCAAGCGCTACGGCAAAGACTCGGGCCTGTGTAAGAACATGCACATTTGAAGGCTTATGCCTTTCAACATTTCCTGCTAAGAAGCATCCCACATAACTTTTTAAAAAGACAACAGCAGAAACAAAACAAAATCTTCTGTTGTAGAAAACAACTCAAGTCCTTAAGGGCTTGCTAGTTGTACTCCACTCATTTAAGGCTTTGGGGGAAGTCTAGCAGTTCTGGGGGACTGCTGCATTTTTCTGACAAATGAACAAAAATAAAAAAATAAAATCTTTTTTTCCCCTTAAAGTCCCATCCTGATGCTTTTCTCGGCCTGGATTTGAAGACCTCTAACCACTCTCTCCTGCCAACCCCCAAGCCCCAATTTTTCAGCACTCCTCTTCACCATTAGCATGGGCAGGGTTAGGGGAGCTGTTCATATAGAGTGCGGACTATAAAGCGCTGCATTGCCTATAGAGAATTTTAAAACAATAACAAAACTGGCCAAAAGTCTGTCTGCCTCTAATTATTACTAAGCAGTGGTAATTCTGAAAAATAGCATTGATAGATCCTACCAGAACTGATTGCTCCCACCAGAGGCACTTTCTTGCCTCTACCCCCATGCCACACCCCTTTACCCAGTGGTTTGAAGACCCTTAGGTTCTCTGTGCCATCTACAGAGCAGGGCACTAGTAAATATGCTAAGAATTCTTAATTGACAACTAGTCACTCCGGTGAACTAAGCTAAGATAATATGCGATGAGGAGGAAAAAAGCTTCCTGCCTCCCCTCCCACCAGTACACTCATTAAGAGCTCCCCCTATATTCACAAATAGTGTCTGTCTCCTAAGAGGTCTTCTGAAGATGGCTCTTATTTTGTTGATTAACTTAGAGCTGGTATTTCCAGCTACTTAAAAGAGTCTTACTAAAGCAGGGTGTCCAAGTGGGAGAGCCGGACCCCTAAAGCCCTCCTTTTAAAATGATTTATATATGACAATTAAGTATATCTAAAATACACAATGAAGCCGGGTGTGGTGGCACACGCCTGTAATCTCAGCACTCGGGAGGCTGAGGCAGGAGGATCTCTGTGAGTCTGGACCAGCCTGGGCTACATAGTGAATTCCAGTTCAGTTTCAACTACATAGTGAGACCCTGTCTCAAAAAAACAAAGACAAAAACAAAAAAGAAAACAACAACAACAACAAATACACAGTGAATGCTGGGGATTTAGTTCAGTGGTTCCGCTGCCTGCTTTGCAGGCGCAAGATCCTGAGTTCGATCCCCAGTACCCCCACAAAATACACACATACACACACAGTGAGCCACATTTGTACACGGTTGTCCAACCGTCACTCAGATCTGACGCCCCTGACAGCTTCCTCATGCCACATCATGGTCATTATACCTGCAGATGTAATCAGTATTCTGATGAAGTCAGCTTTTTATATTAGTTATTTGCAGTAGTTGCATTTTACCCAAGAGAGAGATAAGAATCACTACAGAGGGATTTGATGGCTCTTAGGGTAGCTCACTTTTACCATTGCTAGCGCTGGGGCTATCCTGAGACTGTTAGGGCTTTCATCTAAGTCTCCTATGGTATTTGTTAGTAGATGCTTACTTTTTGCTTCCTGTGCTCAGTCCAGGCAGATTTGACAAGGAATACAACAAATGGAACTACTGGAAAAATGCTTTCCGTAAAAGAGAAAGGAAGGGAAGTCAAAACTGTACCTAGTTACACTATCTCCCTACGTAATGGCCCAGCTGAAGTGATAAGGTTTCTGTTTCAGATTTCTTTTTAGTCTATGGTAATTTTACTTAGCTAATGAACATTAATACCAGTGCATAATCAACATGGTAAGGTGAACAACTGAGTTAATAAACCAAGCTTACAAGCTGCATCTCTGTATCCTTAGTTATTACTCATACCTTCAATATAGTGGGCACTCAAAAAATATTTGTTGGGCTAAAGTACGACTGGTTTTGAAATTAATATTTGATGTGTAAAGGAGATACTAACTTTAACATGCCGCAGTCTTTTTCCTTTGCTTCTTTCTTAGCTTGTCTGCTTCACTTTCTCCTATTTCTAGACTCATTTGTATCCATCTATCAATGTGATACCCAAGTTGGTAGTGGTTGTTCACTCCCTCAGAAAAAAGTCGATTAACACAACTATTTATTGATGCCTTTCTGTGTGCAAGGTACTGTATAAAGTACTGTGAAGGGAACCAAAGAAATACAAATAAATATGCCCCCTGGAGCTCCTTTCTCAGTCTGGGAAAATTTCTCTGGCTTAGAAATAGCACACTGGTTCAGAGTACAAAGCCTGGAGCCTAAGTTCAAAGCTCAACCCAGTTATTTACTGAGTGTCTCTGGGCAAGTTACTTAACCTCTTTGTAACCCAGTTTTCTTATCTGTAAACTGAGGGTGATGAAAATAACTGCCTTGTGTGGTTAATATGAAGAATGAGTGAGTTAGTCTGTGTGAAGGACTTAGAGAAGATCCCAGATCATAATAAGCACTATTGAAGAATTTGCTCATTTTTTTACCTTCAGAGTTAAAGCAGGCCAATTAACTCAATGTATGCCAAGAACTGAATGAAATGTGCCATGCAGGACAATATCTATTTGTAATACTCAACCTAATTTTACTGTAGAATATTTTGCAGCCAACTACAGGTGAAATGTATGGGCAAGCAAGCAGAATAAAACTATGTAATGAGCTTAGGCTCATCACACCTAGGGATGTGGTAAGAATTCAGGCTCCACTACTCACTAGCAATGTGCCCAGGAGCAAGTCAGGTGACCTCTTTGAATCTCAATTCCTTCATCTGTAAATAAGGGGATGATACATCCTTCATAAAATTATTGTGATGATACATTTGAATCACTTGACACAGAATCTGGTACATAATAAATGCACACTAAATGTTAGTTATTATTTCTGTTTTAGCCCAAGTTGTAAAAGCTACATGAGTTAATAAAAATATAAGGTATTTAGGTCAGGGTCTGGCATACAGCAAGAATTCAATAAATGAGCCTTTTCTTCTTCCTTTCTCCTTTCCTCTTTCTGTTTGATAGCTTGTGTCTAGATGTCCTCCCAAAGCCTCATGTGATCATAGGTGGGGCTTTTTCAGAGGTGGCTGGATCTAGAGTGTGTGATGCTGGGACAGAATGTGGTGCAATGCTAAGATCAAGGGCACTAGGATTAAGGGTGTGAGTGCTGCTCGACTTAAAGGCAGGTAGCCTGGATAAGATATAAGGGGTAGAAAGAGCTATAGTCATCCCCTGCTTGTTCTGCTACCTTCTGCTCACCATGAACTGTTTTTCTCCTCTGCATTGCCTGCCTGCCACAACACCCTGCCTTGGAGCCATCTGATTATGGAATGAGACCTCTACAAACTATGAGCTAAATAAACCTTTTCCTCTTTAACTGTGGGTGTTGGGCATTTTGTCTCAGCAATGAAAAAAGTATGTGAGACAGATAGATTTAGTGATTTTAATTTCCACCAATAACACTTGCTTTCAAGGGAGTGAACAAGACTGGTGGCCAGCCAGCCACTGAGTATCAGAATCTAAATGTTTATTAAGACAAAAGGATATCATGCAATAGCTCAACCATGCTGTTATCAGGTTTCCCTCCTTCCTGTTTCTCTAGGCAGCCTTTCCTGATGTCAACTCAACTAGTTAATCCACTCTCCCCACCCACTGCTAGCATTTATAATCCATTTTATCTTAAAATACTGTGTGGTCCATGTGAAATGCTGAAACAATATTCAAGTCCTCACAAAGCAAGGAACATAAAATAGTTCCTTGGAAAATATTTATCCACAATGAAGAAATGTAAAATGTCTTCTTCTATGGGGTTTTATGGTTTTTATGTACTTTCACATACATTATTGATTCATTTGATCCTTTTTTTTTGATGCTAGGGACCTCATACATACTAGGCAAGTGTTCTCCCTCTGAGCTATACCCTTAGCTTTTCATTCGAATTTTAGGACAACTCTGGGGATATGTTCAGCAGGCATTATCATTACTTCCATTCAGAAATAGCTAACTTTAAATCTCTCTTCTCTCTCTCCCTTTCTCCCCTTTTTCTTTTTAAAAACTAGTTTACTTTCCAAATAATTCTCACCATTTTTGAGCTGGTGAATCCAACGCTTTCTCAGTTCTTCAGTTGGGGAGAAGACGTAGAGAGGCCCTTCATCATATACAACCTGGAACAATGGACACACAGACATCAGCAGTTAGGATTCAGGAAAAAAAAAAGGAAAGACTCTGAAGCAATGAATTTAAAGGTACAACTTTGTGTACTATTGTAGAAAACAAAGACAGGGTCTTCAGTCAGCATTTGTGCAGGGGTCGTGTGAACTACCTGAAATATTTCTGAACTATTTATATTCAGGGATGTAAGATTCGGAAGTGGTTCATTCTTTGAATACTCTTAAATCCTCTTAATTTGTGTTTCAGTTTCTGTGTACCCTAGCTTTAACTTTTGGTAGAGGTAGGGCTTTTATTTTTCCAACAAAGGCAGATCATATTTTATGATGTTATTATTCTATTGGGTTTAAATACTGGAGAAAATTGAATTTGAGTTTATCATATAGAAGATAATTGAAGTAGCGATCTATATAACTTAAGTCTTGATAAATACATATAAGTTGTTCACTTGGGTAATATGGAGCTAAATTTTAATTCATGGCTAACCCTGTTACCTAGTAGCCTCCTATCAGCAGCACAAACCGAAATAAACCAACTCTGGACCACAAACTTACTTTAGAAGGAGATGAGTATATATTAAGCATAAACATAAAAATCATTCATTTTTTTAACATTTACCATCTTAGAGACATCATGTAGGTGTTAAGGAGATGCATGACTCAGTCTTAACCTCTAGAGAGTTATTAGATATCACACAATGGATTCCAAAGTCAAATATAAGTCAAATTATGAATTATCTACTGTTTTGCATTATCCACTAGCACAGTTTAACACTATCATCTTGTTCAAAGAATGGTAGCAAAATCGACCCCAGAGACACCCTTTCTTCACAGGTTTTGTAATAGGAACATGAATAAGATCCTTTTACATTTTGCTTGTTGCTTGTTAGTCTTGCTGTGCTCATAAATCCATGACAGAAAGCCTCCTCCCCTGAGACTTTCCACTTCCTTTGCTGCCTTTTACTCTTGCAGAAGCTTCAATATTCACAGCATGTGGCCTACAGACTTCTCAGGACTTTAGCAAGCTGAAGAGCAAATCTTGCTGTCCTTTATGGCTTACACTCCATCTACTTAATAGATGCCTATGTAGCTGGGTCTTTAGCTATTTTAGACTAGAATAGAATTTACGTTTATGCATTAGTCTGAAAAAGCCTTCCCCATGTTGAAGTTCCTAATACTGCTTCTTCCCTCCCTTTTTCTATCTTTTCAACACACATAACCACCATTAGTCTGATAGGCAGAACGAAAAGGAAGTGAAATGCTCACTCAACAAGCAGAGCATCTTTCTCAATGCAGTTATCATAAACAGAAACACCATAATAAAATTGGTGCTACTATGTATTATTTTTGAGGTATTGAAAGGGAAAGAAACTACGTTATGTTGGAAAAATAGAAAAACAGGCTCAGCCCTGCCTGTCATATTTATTGGTTCAAATAAAATGGAACCCTTGCTAGGATAGGCCACAACCATTTGCTGGGTTGTTTACCAAAAGAAGCACTTATAATTATACATATGTATCTTTTGCACCTCAGAAAGGCAATTCTCAAGGACCTTCTGAGACATTATCAGGAATGTAGCCATCAGAAGAATAATCCAAGAGTCCATGGGAAGGCAGAATTCCAACTTTGATAATTACCAGTCAGTAAACACAGCTGACCTAGTCTGATTTACACAAACTAACACTTTGTACTTTCCACTTCTCTGGCTCTGAGCCTCCATGCTCCCTCTTAATTACTTGCTTTTAGTTGACTTTAAAAATTGCTAGTTCTGGGGAGAGAGAGGATGAGGTATAAAAATAATCAAAATGCAATATATATACCTATTTCCCTAAACAAATATAATTATGATCACAAACATATACCAATTTAATTAAAAAGTGAAAATTAAAAAGTAAATAGTTGACTTAAAAATTTAGCTTTATAACAGACAAACAAACAAACAAACAAAATCACTAATTCTGGAGGTCCCGAAGCTGACTATTAGTCTCACTAGCTTTGCTATAGATAGCACCTTTATCTGTGGGTCATGATAATAATGGTTGCCTAGGTTAGTTTGTAGAGAATTGAGAACCATTTTCTTTCACTTAGGCCTATTCTTCACTTGGTCCTGTGCAGGTGTCCAGTGAATGACCTTTTAACATCAGGAGACTGAAAATTCTACTCTTAGATTATGCTAATGCCACCATTTTCTAAACACATGTCCCGTGAAGACCCATGAAGATGGATTATGACTACAGATACACAGACCACCGATTGCTTCACCTCTAATCATCTGTCTGCATTCCTTAACAGGGTGAACCCAATTTCTTTACCCAGAAATATACCCATTTTCCCCCTCCATGGTTGGCCACCATGCTTGGGAATAAAGTTTTTCTCTTTTACAAAACCCGTTGTTTTGGGGCTTGGCACACTATTCAGCAGGCAAAATAGACCTGGTTCAGAAACACAGCTTCCTTTTCCACTTCAGCTTCTGCTCACTAGGACCTAGTATCTTTGCTTCTGCCATGTACTCCATCCCTAATGACTACATTTTGGGGTTCTTTGCAGAGTTGGTGAGGAAAAATGACCTACCTGGAAGGGGTAAGGGAATCTCTCAATGATTGAAATCTGCTCCATTTCACTGGACTCTTCACCTCTTCTCTGCAATGAAAAAAGTGTAGTTACTGGTTGGTTCATTGCTCTTTCTTGGATTTCTTTAGGTACCTTCAGAAGTCTCTCCTAGAGAACGTTAATTCTTACTGATTACTTCCTAGTAGTGGGGACACATATCCATAGGATCCTGCATGGATGCACTCACGAAAGCCTCAGAGATTTCAAATCATTTTCAAAAGGGATGTTTCTCAGTAATGGGTGCTAGGACAAACATTTAACCACTAATACTGGGAGGAGGAGGGGAATTGGTTATCTCACATCATATACCGAAGTGAATTCCAGATGGATCGAAGAGCTTAATATAAAAAACTGAATTATGGCCGGGTGTGGAGGCACATTTCTGTAATCCCAATACTCAGGAGGCAGAAGTATCAGGAGTTCAAGGCCAGCCTGGGCTACATAATGAACCCCAGTCTCCAAAAAAAAAAAAAAATGAAACAAAAACAAAAACAAAAATGCAATGAATTGCCAAGAGCAAATATAAGAGATTATTTTAACAGAAAACAGGGAAAGGAAAAGAGGAAGAGGTCTGAGAGGTGGAGGGAGGTGAAGGAAAGGAAAGGGAGGGGAGGGGAAGAGGATGAAAAACTAAGATGTGTTATGTACATGTATCAATGCCACACAAGGAATGTAATCATTATGTGCTACAAACATGTACTAATAAAATTTAAAATAAATGTTTATATAATCTTGTGGCAAGATCTATGTGATATAAAGCTGAAGGTCAGAACTAATAAGAAAAATACGAACTAATTTGATGGCACACGATTTATAAGTTCATGTGACAAAAACACTATAAACAAAATTCAAAGATAAATGATAAACTGCAAAACTGTCTTCAATATACATTATTATTAAAGGATTAATATCCTTATATCAAGAACTCTTTGAAAAATACTAAGGATACAGTAAATATATTTTTTAAATGGGCCAAAAAGATTAATGGGCAATTCACAGATGAAACAATATAAATGAGCTATAGACATATAATCATCTAACCTCATTAGTAAAAAGAAATTGCAAAATAAATTCAGCAATGTAATACTACTTTTCTTGGTTGTTAGCTAATATTTTAAAAATTCAGTATTGGCTGGGCATGGTAGTGCACACCTGTAATCCCAGCACTTGGGAGGCTGAGGTAGGAGAATTGCTGTGAGTTCAAGACCAGCCTGGGCTACATAGTGAGTTCCAGGTCTGTCTCAACTACATAGTGAGACCCTGTCTCAAAAAACCAAAACAAACAAAGAAACAAACAAAAATATTCAGTATTGTAAAGAATGTAGAGAAATTGATATTCTCATAAATAGTTTGTGGGAATATATGAAATTTCAATCCCACTTCTAGAAAATGCAGTAGAATAAATGATAAAAATAACTAAAGTGCACAGATTTCATAAACAGAAGAACAAAATTTTACTTCTAGAAAGTATAAGGAAAAGAAGAAAAGTACACAAAGATGTATGTGTGGATATTCCTCTCAACATGTTTTATACTGTCAAATAATTGTAAATAAACGATATATAATAATAGATTAGTTGAGCAAATTGTAATGCATCAGTGATGTGGAATATTATGCAGTCCTTAAAATGTTATTAAAGAATTTTATCATGAGTAAATTTTTCTTATATTTTGTTAAATTGAAAGGGTATGTTACAAAGCAAGATGTATAGTATGAGACTATATTCTAAATATATAATCTATGTATTAATACATGTGTATGCATTGCTAGTGAGGAAAATATCTGCAAGCCTGTACACACTAACATATTAATCTTTCTTTGGCTGGATAATAGGACTGTACATCCTTTTATCTTACTTTTGAGCTTTTTCATGTTTTTCCGAGATTCTATAATAAATGTGTATTACTCTTGTAATCTTGCAGAAACCAAAAATGATATTTTAAAAAAATTAACTGGAAAGTTTGTATGTGTTATGCCCGGGGGAAGTTCCAGGAAGTAAGAGGAGACTAAACAGTGAGATATTAAAGAATCTCATGGGGCATAGCCTGGAACCATTCAGCGCTGGCCCCCCACCCCAGCTGCTCTCTTCACTGTCTCTGATCCCTGAATACCATGTAAACAGCCCTCTGTCATACTCCCATGCCATGCTATACTGCCTTGGAGCCAGCTGACTGAAATGTCAAAATAAAACTCTGCTCCTTTAAACATATAATAAAACTATCTCATGCGAATCAGAGCCCTAGAATTCTGACATTCAGACATACTTCAGTCTCAAAACTGGATCTTGATAACTGAGGGAGTTAAACCAATCATCTCTGCCCAGTTTGAAAACTTGCTTTGGCATTATTTTAAAACCCGTGTTTTTAAGTTTTCCAGGTTAAATGAGATGTTCTACCTGTGGAAGGAAGATGCCAGAGTCTCAGTATAAACAATCCACGGCAAAAAAAAAAAAAAAAACTTTAAGGAAATGTGACTCTGTCCCACAATGCACAGAATCACCGGTCTATTTACAAATTTCAAAAGTCCAAGTTTCTTAATGTCCATGGCTCCCCCTCTTTGACACTAGTTTCTTCTTACCGGAATCTGTCTTTCAGGAGGAGGATTTTTTTCAGGAACTACTGTTTCGACACAGGTAATCTTCTCAACATCAATTGAACCCTTCTTACTGCCTCTTCTCTGAATGAGTAAGAAAATGAAGACCGATTAAGAGTGATTAAGCAGATGATTAGATTTTGTTATCTTATCCTTCAACATGATAAAGTGGCACCAACGTGCTATATTAGGAGTTGTCATTTTGAAAACAGAAAAACACTTCCAGATCTACTCATCTGACCTCTGACTACCAAATGGAAGACAAATACTATGGAAAAGTAAATGACTGTGTGCATCTTAGTCATAAGAAGCAACTTCTAACTCTTGGATTATATTCTCCAACAATCCCTGGAATATTGACCACTTGCAAGATACCATGGTAAGACTTCCCCCATGACTTCTTAGTACCTTTAAATTTTTGCTCCAGCCTGGTTATAGGTAGTTATAGGCTAGGAAATATGTTGCCGAGTTCAATCATATTTAGGTTTATTCTATCTCCCTCCTCCTATCTAGAAAGATGTACCTCTACCCCAAAGAAGATCTAAGGCCAACTCCTTCAAATCTTGAAACTCCGGCTTCACAGCTGGGAAACTTACCCCACGTTCAAAGTCATACTCATAGTAGGAAAGTTTTTGCATGGTCAAAAGAAAGAGGCGCTTCTTAAAGTTTAAAGGTGACGTTTTCTTTTTTTGCTGAGAGCGTTTCAGAAAGATGCTTTCCAGTATCACTGCAGCCATTGCTTCTTCTTTCTGGAGCTCCCTTGTCTGCTGTTGATAATGAAAGCGCTTGAAGTTCCAGCAAATTAATTTTTATACCTTTTGGTTCCCCCCTCAGCCTAGCTACCTATTTAAGATGGAACAATAATGTGCAATGTTACTTTAAAAAGCTTTGTTCCTACCTTGACATTTTCCTTCAGGTCTTGTCAGTTTTCAGCCATAATGAATGCACATTGTATTGGGGAAATTGATTGTACATTGTGAGTTGAGAAAACTAGGCTCTTGTAGAAGGCAACCACGTGTATGTTTCTGTGTGCTTAGTAACATCAAGAGGCAGCTTTACACTATTCACCCTTTACAATACGTGTGCACAATCTGTGAACAGCATAAGTCTCTGTGCAGCTGTTGACCCTGATATTCCCAGAAGGGATAATGCAGGTGCCAAAACTCCACTGAGGCAGATATTGGACTTTCAGTTCCCAGTTTCCTAGACAGTGAATGTAATTTCTCATACATTGTCCCACTGGGGTCTGTAACCAAGAGGTCGAGTAAGGACATGGAGGCTGCACCTGCAGTTATGGATACGCAGTAACGGCCACTCAACTGATTTTTCTCCGTCACCCACTGACTGAGCTACAAAGGATAGATTTCTTTTCAAGTTGAAAGCACAAATTGTGGGGGGGAGCTAGTGTTTATTTTTGGCCTTTTCCTCCATTTTTCTTAGATTATTTCTTTTAGACAGCATCATGCAAAAGGGAAACAACTATCTTACCAGTACAGATGCCCGGTGTGCTCACTTATAAGGAGTAACATGTTTAGCCTTGACAAATTTACAATACTCCAGGAGTCAGTTAAGGTAAACTAAGTACAGAAAAGCAAAGAAAGTCCCCCAAATCTACCAATGGCTTTTTATCTACAGACAACATTTCACATCAGTTATTCACTTACAGTTTGTGCACAATTTTATTACTAACTCCAAACTTTCATTAAAGTGAAAATAGATACTGTCATAAAAATGGAGCACTGAGTAAGTAATGAAAAAATCACCAGCCTTTCCTCAGTGTTGTCCTATAAGGAAGGTGGGATTAATTTTTAAAAATTAAACTCCTTAAACTATAGGTGGTACTATGGAAGCAGAATAAAGTCAGCAGTTTTTTCTACTTGTGAAGTACAGATTATTGCTCACATTAAGAGAGTAAGGGAGCCGAGTGTGGTGGTGCATGCCTGTAATCCCAGCACTCTGGAGGCTGAGGCAGGAGGATCGCTGTGAGTTCGAGACCAACCTGGGCTACAAAGTGAGTTCCAGGTCAGTCTCAACTACATAGTGAGACCCTGTCTCAAAAAA